AATATGTACTAAGTTTCAGCTTTCTATCTTCAAAAAAAAACAAAGTTGGGTCAATTTCGATCGTTCAGTTATATGGCAGCTATAAGATATAGTCGGCCGATTCTTATGAAATTTGGTAGGTTGGATCAAATGACCAAAACTATAATCCGTACTAAGTTCCAGCTTTTTATCTTCAAAAACACGAAAGTGGGGTCATTTCCGATCATTTTCAGTTATATGGCAGCTATAGGATATAGTCGGCCGATCCTTATGAAACTTGGCATGTCGTATTATTTATAGCTCTCACGTTAAATATGAACTCTCTAACTCTAAAAACACCAAAGTTATAGCATTTCCGATCAATAAGTTATATGGCAGTTATAGGATGTAGTCGGCCGATCCGGGCCGTTCCGACTTATATACTGCGGGCAAAGGAAAGAAGGGTGTTCAAAGTTTTAAGTCGATAGCTTTAAAACTGAGAGACTAGTTTGCGTAGAAACAGACAGAAGGAGAGACAGACGGACAGACGGACGTGCATATATCAACTCAGGCGGTGATCCTGATCAAGAATATCACCTGATCACTTTTGACCAAAATTAGAATATTCCTGCAAGGGTATAAAAATCAATAATTGCAACTTTATGGTAATGTCTGCGGAAACGTAGGCGTAGACCAACTTAAAAAAAAAAAATTCAAAATTTTATCTTTATTTTTTTGGATATATGTAAAAAGTTTCGTGTTTCTATCTTCAAAAATGGTAAAAATAGGGCATTTTGGTTTTTTTGCCCATAGTGCATTGTAAGAAAAATAATTCCACAGGGTATGTTAGGTTAGGTTATGACGGCTTTCGGGTTTTAACTTGAAAAAAACCCAACATACCTAAAACGTTATCGTATATTATTATTATTATTATTATAAGAATATTATTATATTATATTATATTATATTATATATCCCACCGTGAGACTTGGGTAAATCTTTGTATCCTGTTTATATCTATTTATAATATAATATAATATCAAAACTGTAACACAAATTCAGCAATCTAACTTTAAAACTTAGTCTTATTTTATTGATAAGTCAATTTACTCAATGGTTTTTGAAAAATTTCAGCTTTTGACATTTGGAGAAAAAAATTCCAAAGCAAACATGCTTTGACGTAAACCGCTATAACGTCTGGTAATTACATATTTTGGAAATTCAAGCCTTTTTGACTACCAAATAAAACCCAAAATGTACTTTTGGATTACTGTACAGATTTTAAAATAAAAGCGATTTCTTTAAAATTTTTTGTTTAGGATTCGATACGCTCTTCTCTAATTCAACAAGTCATGCTTTATTCATGCTGAATGTACATATGTAGTAAAGTAGATAATTATGAGTACAAAAGCTTACTTTTGACAATTGTACAAATGTTTTTTGTGGTTTTTAGTAGGGCAATCTTTGCGCCATATAAATTTTGTGGTGCACCTCAAATGTGCAGATACAGTAGCGGACAATGAAATCCGGACACTTATAGTACTTGCACTAAATGTGAACTTTGCATTAGATTGGTAGGAGCGCGTGTTATTATATCGAGTTGAAATTTTCAAGGTATTTGGCTTTCATGATCTGAAAGCATTTTTTAAATTATTAAACTTCTTATGTTGAAAAAAATTTTTTTTTAAATATGTCGAAAATGACTGAAAATTTTCAAGGGGCCATATTGGCCTTACAATCGAAAATCTTAAGCTTCCGAGGAATAAGCTCTAACGTTGGACTTATTGAGTCTTCTTTCGAGGATTTCTTACAAAATTTTGAGAAAACCAGAACTCTAAAGCATTTGCCAGGATCAGGAAAGAAAAAGAAGACCAACTACCACGGTTCGAATTCATTCACCATTAGGCATGACTGATCGTTTCAAATCAGCAAAACATGTAAGAAGTAAGTTTTTCCAGTTGAAAGGAGTCGAAATAAGCACTCGAACCGTTCGAAGGAACATTGAGGAGGCAGGACTTCATGGCTGGCGAACAGCGAAAAACCCAGTCTTGACCGTAAAAATGCTCCAGAAAAGACTACAGTTGGTCAAAATGCATGAATCTTAGACTGTACATTATTGGCGAAACGTCATTTTTTTTTAACGACACCAAAATAATCCATTTGTCTTACAATAGTATGAGCTAGGTGCGCCCCAAACGCGACAAACGCTTCAAAAATAATTGTTTATGGCGAAAGGTCAGGCAAGGAGCATCTCGAATGGTCCGGGGATGCTTTTCTTACTATGGCGTTGGTGATCTGGCATTAATTGATGGAACTGTAAATGCTGAAAAGTTCCAAGGTGTTCTGAATCGTCACCTTCTACCCTCAATGAAGGAGCGTCTTTCTCATGCCCCAAACATAATCTTTCAGGATTTGTTTAAACAATAATTAAAGTTTTAAATTTCTAGTATTTTTTTTTTAAATTTAGGTAATACATTTTTTTGCAGAAAAATCGAATATCAAAATTAGACTGGCCAGGCAGTAGTCCTGATTTCTATCCGATTCAATATCGTTGTCCTATTTTATAAGTACAACGATTTGGACAACAGACACCTATATTATAGGTGTTAGTAGTGGAAGCTTCCAGACTGCATAATCAAAATTTTATTTTTTACTTGTTATTTTTGTAGTACAAAAAAAGGATTTTTTTTCCAAAGAAAATATTAGTTTTAGTCGTTTCCTTTTTTTCTATCAAATAAAGTGACTTAATGCAACAATTTTATTAAATTTTTAAATAATTTGTTTGTCCACCCCAATATGGACATTTGTTATTAGTTATTCATAAAAATTTTCTGCCGAAAATGTGGTATTTGTCGGTTAAGATCATTTTGAAAGGGATCGGAGATGTCTCCTGTATTGCATTGCACATATTTGACCAGAAATTTAATAACCTCTGCAAGGGTATACAAATATTTAATTCATAAAAAAATACCAACAGTGCTCGTTTCACAGGTACCAATTGTTATCATTTTTGAAAACGTCATTGTTACTATTGCATTTAAAAAATAATTGGCATTAAAGGGAGTTCGCTACAAAAAATATACTCGCAATATATATATATGTCGGTCGAAAAGTAGCCTTGGCGCTTGTAACAAAAATTCAGTCTTTTCCACACCCCAATCAATACAGACGGCGGCAAAATACAATTTTTATACCTGGTACTCGTAGAGTACAAGCACTAACCATTCATCTTATGCTGAGCATCAAAAGGGTATATTGTAGTCGTGTAAATAGATGTAACATAAAGAAAGAAGCATCTCCGACCCCATAAAGTATATATATTTTTTATCAGCATCATCAGCCGAGTCAATAATGCCATATTTGTCTGTCCGTCCGTCCGTTTGAACACGTGGATTTCAGAGACTATAAGAGATAGTAGATTACTTGAACATGCAGTTAAAGTTTTTTTTAAATATTGCCACGCCCCCTACCGCTCCACAAATCGCGAATTTCTGTTGCCCCAGTACAGGAAGATTTTGTCAATAAATTTTTAGAGGAGCTAAAGACTTTTTAGTCTACATCGGTAGTATGGCCATATGTTTGTTGTTGTTGTTTTTCCCAAGCGCAAGTATATGCAACCAAAATTTGCTTAGAATCCATACCTTTAAAGTTTAAATTATAATAGTTAGTTAACCATAACTGAGTTACGTAGGCCGTGTAATTCCGTTGACCACTTTTTTTGATACACGGTACTCGTAGAGTACAAGTGTGAATGTAACTAACAAAGAAAAGGAATCATCTCGGACGCCATAAAGTATATTATATGTATATCCTTGAACAGCATTAACAGTTAATTCGATTCAGCCATGTCCTTCTGTCTGTATTAACGATTCCTTAGTCTACTTGATAAAAGCTAAAGGTGTCTAAGAAGTCTGGAGATTAATGGCATCTATCTGCTTCTTTATGTAAGGTATCCGCCACAAGGGCAACTCCAAGCTCGCGATGCATATCAATGTTATGATTAATGTGTACGATTCCGATCCTTTAATTTCCCATTCAAATCGCTTTGAAAACCTGTAATATTGATTCCAATGTTGCAAATTTTGCACAATATTCACTTTGGCCTCGTTTAAAATAGGCTTACCAATGCAGTTATGTAATTTTGTTTGTTATTTATTTATTTAGTTTTCAGAGATATCACCTGAGATGGAAGAAACTTTTGGACAATCTCGGACAATCATTTTATTAAGATATAGTCCGATAAATTGAGTTACCAAATTTGTGCAACAACGTTTCGTTATGTTAGCTTATCCTCGTCAATTGTTCATATTGAGTGTTGTGGTTTTTCTCAGTAATTCAGTATGTGCATTGTTTAAACTTTAAGCAGTACCGCAACGCCCTAAACTTAGATTGTCAAAATATACAAACAAATTAAATGATCATTTAAAATAATATTATGTGAAATTTGTAAGCTAAAGGAGCTTAAGAAGTCAGAAAATCAGAAATGTAACATATGTATACAAAAATATTGCACATATACATATGTAAAACTTAACTTTTCAGTTCAGTTTGATTTAATAAAAAATTGTGATGCAGTATAAGTTATTTGTGTTTCCTCTAAAGGCCTCAATTAGTAGGTTTCCGCATTCATGACTTTAAACCAAAAACATAAAATTTCCATTTTGTGAAATAGAATGCCACTAAGCTATTTGCCCAGTCCAATTTCAAACTGAGAACTTGAAACTAAAATCAATTAGTAAGAACACCAAAAATATCCCAAAGCCATACTAATAAAATGTAAAGCCCATGGAATTCCCAAGCCAAAAGCTGACGAATAAAATCTTAGGTGTTTCTCTTCTCACAGATTCCTCTCCTGTGAGACAAGCGATCTTCTGCAGCGTCTCAGCCGAATCGAAAGTGAGCTAGAGAAGAGAGCACCTGGCTTGGACTCACCTGGCTTTGACTCACCTGAGATGCTGCCGCTGCGACCTGAGCTGCGCAGCAACCGCAACAGGTCGCGGCAGCTTTGCTGAGTAGATATAAAAGCGACGATCACGGTTAAATATTCAATCAAATTCACAATCAAATCAAGTTGTTCGTTCGCGCTCGCGCTCGGGAGATTTTCGTTATATTAATGTAAGAATAAGACTATGAGTCGGGGTCTATTGTCCGTGTGCCAAAATACTTGTCTTTTCCGGTCGGCGGTTACGTGAATATCACAAGGACATCTGTAAAATTAAAACTTGATCTCCGACGGATTTCACCCATCCACTGATGCTGCAATGCCTAAGGCCCAATTGGGCTGTAGGCTAATAGTAGGCAGGCCCAGTCGTAGCCTTTTGTGGTTGGAAATTAAATTCATTTGCGGTTGAGTGATTGATGGATAGTTTCATTAATTCTCGTCAACAGCTATTTCGGATTGCTTTGGATCCAACTATTCCATTGCAGGCCAAAATTTATTTTCTAGGGATCCGATTTAAGCATTTTCTTGTTTTGTACTGTTGCAAAATTCAGCAAGTGAAGATTTTATTTGAAATATGGTGTATGCAACAAAAATATAAAGATACATGTAGAAAAATGAAAAAAATTAAAGCAAAAAATAGAGAAAAATTGTAGAAGAATACTTGCGGACCCAGCGATGTCCTTTGTAAGAAATTTAGAAATTGTCCTTTCCATAAAAATAATACCATAATTTTTTAATTGACATTATTGTTTATTTTTTTGGTATTTTGTGTTTTTCTAATGTTTTGTCATTTTTATTAGCCATAAAAATAGTAAAAACAAAAAGCTTAAAACTATTGACCCTTCGTATTTTGGTTAATTGCCCGTTTTTGACCACCTCTACTCTATACCCATTATTATTAGTAGAAAGTGTGTCAACGGAAAGCCTCAAGAAAAACAAAAAATTATTTAAGACGCATACATTCTAAGCTCATGAAATAGAAAGTAGAAATTTACAAAAATTTCTAATTTGCCAAGCAAAATTAATAGTCGCTCACGCTGTCAAAAAATATTTTATGCAAATTTTCTATGGGTAAAACACAGCAATTTGATTTTTTCTATACACAAAAAGTAGTAAGGTATTCATTTTTATTTTTGGCTATGGATTGGAGCGGCTTGCTGCTATTCATCTATTTTTAGCATTGAGTCACTCAGAACGAATCCAGCATTTCAGCTTAATAAGATATTTTCTTGCTGGCCAGATTTTTATAATGGCAAAGTTCTTCTTAACATTTTTGTTGAGTGGGTTCAGTTTTCTGTACCCGTATTCCGAAACGCAAAAATTTAAGAGCAATACATTGGGGCTGTTTTGATTGATTTTTTAGATTTAAATAATTTAATTTCTGCACCAAGAAGCTTTATTTGAGTTGAACGGCACAAGAAACAATTTAATTGTGAAAAAACCCCAAAAACTTTAGAGACTATAATTCTTTTGAAGCTCCCGGATATTAATATATTCAAATGTGGAATATTTGCTTGCCTTAGTAGCAACTGATCTTAACAACTTTTTCGACCCGCTTATCGTGTGGGAATAATGGGACAAAAACAGTTTTTAAAACGGTTGGATATCCCCATCAAAACTACAATTAATAAGTACTCATAATAAATGAGCACAAAAAACAATATTTTTATACACTATATATGTACATATGTATATATTTATGCATTTATTTATTTTTCAACTCAAGATTGGCAAAGAACTCAAGATTTTTTTTCAACTCAAATAATTTTTCGAATAAATCAATAGAGTGTAGTTATCTCTTGCTTATCTCTACACTTCTCTCATTTTTTATCTTTCAGTATTCAACATTCCAACAATACTAAAATGGCATGGTACCGACAGCAGCCTACTATACTGCTAGTATTATGTGTTCTGGCCCTCGGCAGCTGCGACTACCAGGAAAATATGTTTCTCAATGGGCAATACCAAACCGGTGTAAGGGAAATCCGGGAAACGCAGTTTTCGGTGAACCCCACGTCGAACGTCTTCCTCAATCATGCTATTATTAGCCGACAAGCATCGCCATTTCAAGGTCCTACCTATTTGCCCCCCAAGGAGTACTTGAAGTGCGCCCAGGGCCAGCAGTGTGTTCGCCAGGAACAGTGCTCGAACGGCTTCTTCAGCCAGCAAGTTCTTAGGATCCAAGTAAGTGTCATTCTTAGTACTTTGATTTAGGGAAACTTTGTGGTCTATTAATATCTTTGAGGAATACATAGTCTTTTGCATAACGCTCTTTTTTGTGGGTTTTACCCGTGGGGGATAAACCAAATTAAGCTTAAACAGGCGCATTACGAGCAATTCCCCAATCAGATCCGTCTACCAGTCGGGTTACAGAGCCAAAGCCCTATACCCAAAAAATGGAAAGCCATCTGTAGCAATAAAGCGAGATATATTGCCATGGTGGTTTTGCTTGATTAGTCCGCCTGATCTGCTTTTCGGTGGTTGTTGTGTTTGTGATCCACAGAGTTGTTTGCACAGTTACCGTTATTTTCCGGTTTGTCATTACCGAAGTTCGGAATACCAGCCCCACATACGTGCAGACCAGACAGCCAGTAATTTCGTAATCGCCCAAAATGGAATAAAAAACGAAGTTCATGTTTCATTGCCCCTCGCCAAGTTCGCTCTTCTTTATGTAAATCAACGAAAGGAAATTTATTTAAATTAACATAAAAGGCGATGCTACTATTTCTTTCCACTGATCTACCAATAAATAAATGAGCCCTGATATAATTATAATAAATAAACTCTGTTCGGGGCAGATCCTATAGCGTCTTAATGAACTAATACAATAAAAATAAAAGTATAAATAAAATATTAAATAAAAGGCCTATATAAATGTTTTATATATAAAACTAAAAATCAGTATATTTGATTTTTAAAGAAATTGCCATTATTTTTGTTTGGTTGAAAATCCCTCTAATAAGCCCGAAACTGTTCATGTGGTTGAGGTGAATTATTTTAAAATTAGGGTTAATCCATAATGATTGAAAAATTTTTTTGCAGTCGAATTAGACGATTGCAACAGACGCATGTGATGTTTCCCCTTTAATAATAGTTTATTAGTCAAAAAACGGTAGAAGGTCATTGACTTCCACAATTAAAAATTATATTAATAATCATTTAGACCTGTCTGGTCTGTTCTTAACATTGTTCATTTCTGCAGAAACTGATACCCTCTGTTATAGGGTCTAATAGTTTCACACTGACATGTTTAGATTTTTAGGTAAATTTACTCAATATTAGAATAGTAAATAGTTGTCCAAAATCCGCAAAGATTCCATTCTTTAAATATAAGAAGCAGTACCCTAAAATGAATGATCACAATGCTGTCAAGCAACACTGGAAATGGTTTTGACGATCATCTACGAAATTGGTACTCTATAAGTATATCCGGGCTATTTTATACCCATTTAGCATGATCAGATGAGGTTCAAGACAATATTCTCATCCGTCAAGGCCAGACTTGAGAACCATCCAAACACATTCAAATGTGTTTTCGATTCTTGCTCTTCTCTTTTAGAAGCCATAAAACCATACATAAATAAGAAGGACGGGACAGTTTAATTTGTAATACTCATGGTCTGACTAATGTATAGAGTGCCAGTTTTCAGTGTGAGCAGGTTATTTATTGCCTTTAGCAATAGCTGTCTGTGGCAGCACTTCATTAGATTCTTATGCATTTCAAGACGATTCCGCCTTTGGCTTCTGTTGCACCTCTTGATCTCTGGCCTCAGACTGGCAAAGTTATTAATTTTCAATTGTTCACTTGCTAAATGCCAGCTGACCAACAGGCACTATTTGCCAAGCGAAAAAAAAATTTTGTAAGATCTTAGCGAAGGTCCAAAGGCGCGATGGCGGCAAAGTTCAATCCAACTGCAACTGCTGTGGGTATCTGACTGGTCACTTTTTAGCACATCATTTATGCAAGCACTTTGGCTGCACTTTGATGAACTTTTGGCCATGACGCCAGAAACCATTGACCATGCAATTAGACATTGACGCGTTAATATATAGTTGGCGACATCGCGATGTTTTTGCCTTTCTGACACAAGTTAACATCATTTTCATTTTCTTCTTAGAACTGCGAACCGGAAACCGACATCTGTTGTTCTTACCGGCCTCCATCAACAACTACCACAACAACAACCACAGCCCTACCGTTCGCGTCCTGTGCTTTAGATTCGGACTGTGTGGCCCCGGAGAATTGTCGCAGCGGCGAAATCACTGCCATTAATTACGTTAAGAAGCAAGGGGTAAGTCCTTGAGATACCTTGAGATAACCAATGGCCGATAGTATAGCTAATGGCCATCAAATAGCACTGGCGCCGTGACTTGGGCAATTCAGAGTGGAAAAGATCGCAGCATGGCTAAACATCATTAGTACGCAGGGTTTCCCCATGAAATCGACGATGGTAGTGTAATACTCATCGCAAAGTAGCAACATAAAGTCAGCCTGACGTTGTACAAATGACGAGACAATCGCCTAAACAAAGCGACCTCAACAGAGTCGACTTTGGTAGCCCAAATCAGACTCGACGGCAACTGTTGCCATGAATTTCACAAGCTCCGGCCGAATATGAAGAAACCCTCTTGAAAACAAATACACCATCTTAGCAGCCAACGAAGCACCAAAAGCTTATTAGCACACAATTACTCACAATCCACCAAATGGCAAATTGTTCTCCAGCAATCGCGGATGGAGCATTGTAAATCGTGTGAGCTCTATTCGCAGCTTTCCGAATGGGCGAACTGTGTACTGCTGCAATTTTCATAGCATGTACCATAAACCATTAGTAATGACATTGTCATAGGACTCGAAACACTCACTTGCCATAAATGCTTATTTGGCGGGTTATGGTACTTCGTTCTCGATAGTCAAGACATTCGACTATAATAGTTCTTACGTATAGTACTTTGTTATGGCGTTAGTGCGAAAATATGTGTCCCCTAACCCTATTTTAATGTTTTTGTATTATATTTAATTATACCAAAGTCTATGTAGAGTTTCAAATTTTTTTCTCTAAGTGGTCCCATTTTAATTTACCATTTTTGTTATTAAACGTTTGTATATATCTATATATACATATAATTGTTTTAATCTTTGTATATAGTTTAAATTTTGACTGAAGTTTGTATATAATTGTCTGAATCTTCATTTTACCTCTATAGTTAGTATGAAAACAAGACATTCGGTTTCGGTGAGCATTTTCCGGTTTCCTTTATTTCATTATTTATATTAGTCTCCTTGTCGACACTCTTTGGTAGGATTCGATACCAAAATGGAAGTCTCCACATGCGTGGTAGAACGGGCGGCAACGAAGGCAGGTGGTGCGACTAAGAGATATCTCAGATTTTTACCAGACATGCGCAATTGCATAATTTGTTTACATGCAACGGCCAACCAAACGGGTCAGTTGCGTTCGACGTTGCTGATGCTGCATGCAACGCCTAAAAAAGTAAGAGCAGCAAGTGAAATATGTGGCACCACAACATCTGCAGGTCGAATTAAAGCGGTTACTTCTGCAATACCAGTTACATGATGACCGCATGCCCTTGTGCGAGTGAAAAGAGTCAATTGAGCTGTTTGTAGTTCACCCAAACTACTAAATTTTGATTATAATTGATATAACTGTTAAAGATTATAATAATTCATTTAAATTAGACCACTTTAAATACAAGTTTTTTGGGAGGGACTTCTTTTTAATTCCATTAAGCTTAAGTAGCTTGGTGTTAATTAAAAGTGGCATGCACAATGCAATTGAGGCAGTTGTAAACTCTTAAATGTGTCCTCTAATTCATTTTCTCTCAGTAAATGAAATATAAAAAAGTAACGTCTGTGCTAGTGACTACTGCAACAAAGTTTTCTTTCCCTCGAACTAGTCTGGTGTATTTATCGATACTGCAGAAATCCATTTGCATTAAAAAAAAAGTTAACTAAAAGTAAATCATCTTTGGTGTTAGAACATGAATTTTACAACCTAAATTATGTGAAGTTTGAAAATGTCACGAACCTTTAGATCAAATTTATTCCAGTCCGGTTATTTGGTTACAATGCGAAAGCTAAAAGTCTCAAACCGTAACCCATCAGAGAAGTTTGCTGAGTTAAACAGAGCATATCGGCCGCCTCCATGGTTATTATATCGTGATAAACCTGAGAGGTGAACCCAAGGTCTAGGTCAAGCTCATGGACAGTAAGAGTGGGAAGGGTGCAGTCGTTGACTGAGCTTAAAAGTGGTTCGTTCCATGGTCGGTTGTGCAGATTTGCTCTGTAGTTTGGCTTCCCTTGTCTTAATGTGTATTTTATGATCATTATCATTTTTATTATTTTATTGATTTTGACTGCCGTGAAGCTTTCATTGCGATCGGAATATGGTGTGTGATGAATTTGAAATCGATTAAATGCGTGTTATTGCGCCCTATAAGCTCAGAGCATCTTCACATTAATTTTTGTCTTGTGTAAGACTATGCCCATTTGTTGCATCTAGCTTGGTCGTAAATAAATGGTTTTAAAAACTGGCTCCTGTCACTGATGCATCGCAAGTAGCATAAACAAAAGACTTAAGCGCCAAACTTATGTCACAATTGCTGGCTGGCAGGTCAACCATAAGCTAACCACCTCAGGGCCGGTACTGACTTTAAGAAGCAACAACTTCATGCTACTCAGATCAGCGGGGTTTGTTTCTGAATAGCTCCAGCTCAAGATAGCACCCCGCATAACAACCAAATAAAAAATTGCTCAATTTATAGGCATATAAATTTTGGCTCTTCTGTCTGCAAAATAAAAAGACTGGAGAATTTAGTGTTGTACTATGACGCATTAATGTGGCCGTAAAAATAATTTCATGTTTGGTCCATAACATTTATGTCGTAAATTCCACTGTCAAAAACCGCATCAGTGCGTAACCTTTTCCTAAGCCAGCCGCATCAACCTATTGGTATATGTACATACTTGTGATCAAAGTGTATGTTATGACCTATTACCCACTTTATGTAGCCTCTGTAGCTACCTCCGCTGAACTTGGTAATGGCTCGAAAATATAATTTTTAAAAATGTATATGCGCGTATAGTAATTTCAACATTATTAACAAATTGCACCAGACAATCTATGAGACATTAATAAAAAAAACGATGAACAAGTTATCTTGTATGGCGAGCCACAACATTTATTAAAAGCATTTTTGAGTCTCCCCGCTGGTTGTTGATGGTGATTACATATTTTAGCTGTCGTTGGTACACAAGTAGCTTGTGGTTTTTGTTGGCAATATTATTATCTTGGGGTAAAATGATTGATCATAAGCTATGCAATGGCCAGCGGCAACACCGATAAGGTGGAAGAGATTGGTGAGGCAGGGGAGAAGATTCAGGTTACGCAGGGATTGTGCCTTCTCCTTCGGTCTTTTGTCATTGATCACAATTGTACTCCTTGTCCCGCACTGCTTACCCAACTAGTCACTCTTAATAGCATCGGTTATTTCATAAAATGCAATGTATGAAGCTTCCTAAAGAGATGCCTTTATAAATATAACGTGTGCATAAAATCTAATCACAGAAAATGACTACTTTCAGTAAGCGCTATTTTCATAATTCGTGATTATTCTTATATTGTGGTTATGTGTCTACGTTGTCCGGTCGAACTAAAAAAATAAGACTTTGAAAACTACACATATTTCATACCAAATTAATAATAGACGGAATTTCAACTTCTGGTGCTGATACTGGTATCATGATAGAAAACTATTAAAAACAAATTACTTTTCAGTCATTGGTTCACGAAGAAGTTAGAAGACATATTTCATACTAAATAAATAATGGACAGTTTCAATATAAGTTATTTTTTTTACAACTATTAAACCCATGGTTTTTTGCTGGTAAATATTTTACAAATAACCACAAATTACTTTTCAGCTATCGGTTGACAAAAAAGTTAGAAAAATATTTGTTATCAAATGAAAAACAGGCCGCATGTTTATTTATAAAATTTTTTTTTTTACGACTTCTGGTAACAAATCCATTACCATCATGTTTTTATACTGGATTCTAAAAATGGTACAAATTACTTCTCAGTGATTGGGTGAAGAAAAAGTTAGAAAACTATATACCTATATTTAATGCCAACATAAGTGTTTTTTTTACTTCTGGTGTTGGTACTGCTGGCTAGAAAACTATATTGTATAAGGGTCACTACAATAGATACAAAAGACTAAAATTTATAAATTTTTCGGTACTCTCTTTTAGATATTGGCAAAAGAAAAAATGATAAGACAGATAGTAACTGCCTTTTCATTTTTAGAATTACTTAGTTTTCTGTTATGCACAAGTTTTAATGGGTCTAAAATGGTAAATAAGATTCGACGACTAGACTATGCCTTCTACATAAATATGTTTGTTTAATGTAACATGTGGTCATGTGGGGACACAATTGTTTATATGAAATAAATAATTAAAGAAGCGATTTTGAGTTTTACTTTTAAAATTTAAGCCAATTATGCATATTTAAAATGTTTTAGTTTTTACACATTTACAGGAGAAGAAAAAGTAGTAAATGACCGAAAAACAGTAACGAATGTTCCATTACTTACCACCTTAGGAATGGCTCAAAAGTTTGGATCTGTACAATAAGCCCGAACCCAAGGCCGTGTCGACCGAAAATGTAGCTCGCCACCCCCTAATATTCCGTTAAATTCATTTGTGGGCGACAGAGTTGATGATTATCTTTATAATTGCGTAAGCGGGCAGCTCTTCAAACTTGTTTAATAGAGCCTGAAACATTTTTTTCCTGTTTTTAAATATGTAAATAACTTATCCCATAAAATCTTTTTCGCTACTTGATATAATCGCCATGCCTAAATCTATTTTTATATATTTAAAACGGATAGGAATCTTCGCCTAAGCTAATAAAACCTGTTAATGGCGAGAAAAATTCAACAAAAATCACTCTTATCTTTAAACTGTTAGCTCTTACCTTATCTCTTATCGTAAAATCTTGTTTTTTAGTTTTTTAGTCGCCTTTTTTGGAACGCGATACATTTGAACTGAACTGTTTATAAATTAAAAATAATAATAAATTTTATTTTAAAGTTTAATCCCAAATATTCATATACATGTACGTGAGTCGCTTAATATTTTAACAGCAAATAGGTAAACACTTAGTCACTGTTAGAAATTATTTTTATTCGCCGTAATGTGCTAAATTTTATGGTGAATATCATTTCCGTGGGTGCAGTGCAGCCAACTTTGCTAACACCCCCACGTTTCTTGACAGTTTCAATGAAAAAAGTCTCGTCCAAGTCTCGTCTCCCATCTGTACACATCTGCGATCTCACTTTGACTTTGCATTAGAGGTCTGCATGGATACATTCTTATTGCCTCAGCCATAGAATACATCCGAATGGAATAGAATGAATGAGTGGAAGAGACACAACGAATTGAGTGAGAGGGAGTGAGAGAGTAAGAGAGCATTGTAACTCATGGGCATTCTCTTGCTTTGAAACAGAGTGAGTTGGGGTGGGAAGTAAAAAGAGTGTTTTTGGAATGAGGAATGCAGCCGAATGTCTCGAATGGTTTTTAACACACTCTATGCATTCATTTATTTTCTTCTGTTGCGCAAAACGCTTCTTAAATACTTCTTTAATAATGAGGGAATTGACCGAAAGGTGAATTATGATAGTGTTTTTTTACTTTGGTTTTTAACTGTTATTATTATTTTCTTAGTGTTTATTGTTTAGTTTTTCCAAATTAAATTATTTTGCGAATTTTTTTAGCGGCAAAATTGTGCTGGAAAATAATTTATCAATAAATATTGAAAATATTTTTACATTTATATAAGTAAAATATGTAAAATAAAATATACAGCATAATAATGAATATTTCTGGAAAAAAAATCAATGACTTAATTCACTTTTGAATTATTTGATTATCATCGTCTAAAAAAACAGGCAAATATGCATAGTTGTATCGTACATTCTAGAATGCATTCGAAACAATTCGAATGCGAACTGTAACTCTAACTCATTCAATTCGGTTTTCATCCCTCAAATGTTGTGCGAGTGAGACCTACACAGTCGCACTCACTCATTCATTAATTTTCGTCTTAGCATTCTATCTCACTCAATTCATTTTCAACGTTGTGCATTTGAATGTCGCTTTTTAGCTATTCATGCAGACCTCTACTTTGCATCCATATCCCCCGAATGTACCGGAGGAAAAACGGGGGAATATTTTATGGAGTCCGCCTTCGGTGTGTCACTCTAAATCATGAAGCTGCGCTTTATTTGCTTACCATTCAAGGCAAGCACTGAATCCATGACAGACAGAGATGGCCACATTAACGACCAGGTAGCACCACATATTAACCAGAAAAAATTGTTAGGTTCAGCGGTCGGCCCTATAATATGTTAATACACTTACTTGCACCTTTACTTGCCCGGTGTGTTTCCATCCACGTTCAATCAGGGCCGAAAACCTACTCTTCTAATATCTGGCAGTAATAATAGTAATTCTTATATCTTGTAGCCCAACCGCTGCTACGAACCCGATGTTTGCTGCCGCATGCCATCGACTACACTGACAGAGGAGGGGTATATTTTTAACTTGCCGGAGAAGACCTTTCCGCTACCCACCAACCCAACAGTTCCCGCTGTTCGCACCACCCAGACTGCGCGTCTCCCGCTGCCCACCATTACGACACCTGCCCCCCGGCCAACCAACAAATACCTACCGCCTGAGACAACTCGGCGCCCCGCCTACCAACCCCTGCAGACCACTCTGCGTTCTGTTTATCAGCCACCTCCCACAACCGCCCGCGCTGTGACGCAGCCTCCACGCCCCCAACCAACGCAAGTCCAGCCTTTGCCAACCCGCCGCCCCATCAACGGGTACCTTCCTCCAGTTTCGGTCAACGAAATTCCACATCGTGAAAAACCAGACTATGAACAGGATCGTGTGCCCCAGCCGTCGAATGAGAAGCCAATATATCGCGGAGAGGACCAGCTGTCGCCTCAAATCTTTCCAACTCCTCAAACGCCAAATACTCCAAAACACTTCGCTAAATGCGCCTCGGCTCTAGTCTGCACCTCCGAAAATTACTGTAATGCCATTGGGGTACTTTCCGATACTCCAATCGAGCTAACACCAATGGAAGCTGCATTCCGTGTTCCTTTAACTGACTGCCTTCAGATAGAGACGGGAACGCCTGGCAAGTGCTGCCGGGACCCGAATTACGTTGACCCTTGGCCGGTGAATTTGGCTGGCGTGTGCGCCACAAGAAACAAGCGGTAGGATAACATTTACCTTAGGTTTACATTTTAAATTTAGGTTTAATTTTTTTTTTTTTTTGTTGCTTTTGCAGAACAAAACCTACGGGAGTCAAGGATTTAGATGCCAACTTCGCCGAAATCCCGTGGCAAGCTATGATTCTTCGCGAATCTAGCAAGACATTGCTTTGTGGCGGCGCAATAATAGGCGACGAATTTGTGCTGACCTCTGCTAATTGCGTCAACGGGTGAGCGATTAGGATTAACGTCATTAGTTCTGTGGGATCTAATAATACCTCTTTTCAGAATCCCAGTAAATGATATTCGCATCAAAGCCGGTGAGTGGGAACTGGGTAGCACAAACGAGCCATTACCATTCCAGTTGACTGGTGCCAAAAGCATAGATGTGCACCCATCGTACGACCCCTCCAGCAACGCTAATGATTTGGCTATTATCCGACTCGAGAAGCGCCTGGAGTTCGCAACCCACATTCAACCTATATGCATTAGCGACGAGGACCCTCAGGTATCTGAGCAATGTGTCACCTCCGGATGGGGCAAACAGGCACTATCAAGTAAGTAACCCCCAACAATCCCACAAACCACAATCATCCTCACACAAACCTTTTTCCTCCGACAGTCCATGAGGAGGGCGCCATCATGCATGTGACAGACACCACGGCGCAGGGTCGCAGTGACTGTGGTGCTGATGCAAGCAGTGTGTGCAGCGCCACAAAGTTTGACGCATGCCAATTTGACGTGGGCAGCGCCCTCGCCTGCGGCAGCGGATCTAATGTCAGACTAAAGGGTATTTTTGCGGGCGAGAGCTCTTGCGGGGATGGGCAGACTGTACGATTTGCTAAGCCCGACATAAAGTGGATTAACACGGCTTTTGCCGACCGCAATAAGCCTCTGCTGCTAAAGCGTTTTTAAGATAAAAGGGGTAAAAGTGAGAAGAAAGGGGTGATGAAAAATCGGAGTAGTTTCGTTATACCTTGTGAAATTCGTCCATCATTGCGGTTCTGCAATTCTTAGTCCCACAGTCTGCCATGCCCACACTATAGATATTTATTCACACAACGAACAAAAAAACCTGAGCAGATATACGAACCTTAAATTTCCATGAAATATATCTTGTTTCAGCATTCACACTAAAAATAATATGACAAGAATGAAATTCCGGAAATACATAGTATGATAGTTTGAATTCAACAGAAATTATTATTAATTTTTAAAGAACTAATGCGGGATGAATACTAAAAAATGAACTATAAGCTTATTAATTTTTTGATTATACAAGGAAATTGAGATTATATTATTGTAGTTGTACCGATAAAATTACCACCTTATAAACACACTATCATTTCTCAACTGCAGCATCTACACATATTTTTACTTTTATTTAAAGATATTCCTATATCGTAAATCGTGTATATGCTTTTATGTTAAAAATGTTGTCTAAATTTAGTCTATAATTTAATTCTTAAATAAATAAAAATTACTTAGAATTATAAAAATGTTTTAACTTACTTTGAGTTGTCTGCAGAACTGAAGTCATTGCCAAATAGATGAATTATCCATAAAAGTAGATAATGAATAACCTGGAACACGATATATAACTTTCCAATTGAAGAGTTATCACTGTGGACGGCAAACCACGGGTTACGAACCGCATGCTAGAATTAAAAATTTTCTGTGTGCGTTTGTTGACTAATGAAAGGTAATGAAATGAAAGGTATTGTTGCCTTATTCCATTTTTATCTAAACATTTTTCCCACTGAAAAAATGTCTGGTGCGACATTTTCCAAAAAAATATGAAAAAATAATGTTTGTTTTTATTTTTATTTTTATTTTATTTTTTTTTTAAACCTGTGTTCTCCATTTTTTTGAAATTTTTACAATTAACGTAATAGTGAGAAAAAAAATATATGTGTATTTACATATACATATGTATGTACAACATATATTTACAATATGTATTTACATATTTTTTGAAAGTGACTGTAACGAAATTTATGTTATAATGAAATTCTCAAAGGCATCGGAAAACTCTATTCGATATTTCCCCTTTACATATATACTTTCCTTTCTTTCTTAAAACTAAAATCAACTAAAAAAAAATATTCCAGCCAGTTTTTGAATCATTATAAATTAAATGAAATTGTAAACTGAAAATAAACGGAAAGGTAACATCGGGCGACCCTTGAAGCTAAGATTGGATATAAATCAAAAATATCGGAAATAGTTAAGCAATTTATTAGAATACAAAATAAAAAAAAGTCCCAAGCTTCTATCTTTAAAAATAATAAATTTGGTATTTTTCTTAAATACCAAATTCGGATCATTCAGTCATATGGTAGCTATAAAATGTAGACGGTCGACCCTAATGAAATTTGGTAGGTCCAATCAATTGGCATTATTCCGATTTTTCAGTAATATGGCAGCTACAATAGGATTAGTTCGGTTATAGAAAATAGAATCCATAAAAATCCCAAATCTCCAAGTCTAAAAACATCAAAGTTATGGCATTTCCGATCAATCAGTTATATGGCCGCTATAGGATATAGTCGGCCGCTCCCGGCCGTTCTAATTATATACGGCGTGCTAAGAAAAGTAGAAGGTGTGCATTATTTTAAAGTCGAAAGCTTTAAAACAAATTCTTTATTCTACAAAAAAAACAGTTAAAAGCAAAATCTTTATGGGGCAAAATAATACGACAACATTTTATATGGATCAGCCGACTATATTCACCAACTTTATCCAACTTTCAAGTTTTTTAAAATAGAAGGTTGGAACTTTCTACAGATTCTATTTTTTGGGCTATTAATCCGACCTATCAAATTTCATATATCCTATATTTATATACAATATAACATTAATATTTCATTCATATCATATTTTTATACCCTTGCAGAGGGTATTATAATTTTGGTCAAAAGTGTGCAACGCAGTGAAGGAGACATCTCCGACCCTATAAAGTATATATATTCTTGATCAGGATCACCTCCTGAGTTGATATGAGCATGTCCGTCTGTCCGTCTGTCCGTCTGTCCGTCTGTCTGTCCGTCTGTCTGTCTGTTTCTACGCGAACTAGTCTCTCAGTTTTAAAGCTATCGTCTTGAAACTTTGCACACACCCTTCGTTCCTTTGCACGCAGTATATAAGTCGGAACGGCCCGGATCGGCCGACTATATCCTATAGCTGCCATATAACTGATTGATCGGAAATGGTATAACTTTGGTGTTTTTAGAGTTAGAGAGTTCAAATCTGACATGTGAGCTATTTTTGGCAAAACATTACGTCATGCCAAATTTCATAAGGATCGGCCGACTATATCCTATAGCTGCCATATAACTGAACGATCGGAAATGACCCAACTTTCGTGTTTTTGAAGATAGAAAGCTAAAACTGAATACAGATTATATTTTTGGCCAGTTGATCCAACCTACCAAATTTCATTAGGATCGGCCGACTATATCCTATAGCTGCCATATAACTGAACGATCGGAAATGGTATTTGGTAGAAATATCAACTTTCGTATTTTTGAAGATAGAAGTTTGGGACTTTTTTTAGATTTTGTATTGAAATAAATTGGATTATATATTCCTATTCCCATAAGGATCGGCCAACTATATCCGATGTTTGCGATATATATCCGGTTTTAACTGCAAGGGTATATAAACTTCGGCTCCGCCCGAAGTTAGCTTTCCTTTCTTGTTTGAATTAAAAACAACACAGACGTGTCTTGTGACAGATGATACCATATAACAAACATACCATAATAGATCCCTTAAAAATTTTAAATTATTTTTGCATATTGAGATACCGAGCTTTCGAAGAGGTTTAATAATGATCAACATACATATGCTGTAATAAAGTTCCTTCAAGTTTCTGCTACCTACACCCAGTGCCGCCAATTTTGATTTTTTCTTGTCACAACTGGCTTTTTATGAAGGCTAACTGCGGAAATCATTTGTGAGTTGCGGGAATTGTCAACAGCGGGAATTCTGACTTTTTTAGAAATTCAGTTGGCTTTTTCGGGATTTTTTTTTGTGTTATCAACAGGGACCGTAATTATACATGTATAATTGTATCATGATTTTAAGTTTTTAATGATTTTTAAAATCACATAATAATCATTTAATAAAAAAAATAAAAATCAGAAATAATCATAACAAGAAAGGAAAGCTAACTTCGGGCACGTAGTTGATATACCCTTGCAGTAAAAACCGGATATATATCGCAAACATCGGATATAGTTGTCCGATCCTTATGAGAATATCATAATAAAACCAATTAATTACAATAAAAAATTAAAAAAAAACAAGAACGGAAAGCAAACTTCGGGCGGAGGCGAAGTTGATACACCCTTGCAGTTAAAACCGGATATATATCGCAAAAATCGGATATAGTTGGCCGATCCTTATGATAATATCATAATATAACCAAGCTTTTATCTTCAAGAACACCAAAGTTGGTATTTCTACCAAAAACCATTTGCGATCGTTCAGTTGTATGGCAGCTATAAGATATAGTCGGCCGATCGTTAAGAAATTTAGTAGGTCGGGTTGTCTAACCAAAAACAGAATCTTTACTAAGTTCCAGCTTTCTATCTTCAAAAACACGAAAGTTGGGTCATTTCCGATCGTTCAGTTATATAGGATATAGTCGGCCGATCGTAACAAAATTTAGCCCGCCCTATTGTTTTGCCAAAAATAGCTCTGATGTAATTTGAACTCCTTAACTGCAACGGTATAAAAGAAAGCCCAGCTTCTATCTTCAAAATACAAAAGTTTGTATTTTTCGACCAAAAACCATTTTGGATCGTTCAGTTATATGGCAGCTATAAGATATAGTCGGCCGATCGTTATGAAATTTTGTAGGTCGAGTTAGCCATTTCAAAAACACGAAAGTTGGGACATTTGCGATCGTTCAGTTATATGGCAGCTAAAGGATACATTCCGCCTCTCCTTACGAAAATTTAGCATGTATTATTTTTCCAAAAATAGCTCTCATGTAAAATTTGAACTCTCTAACTCTAAAAACCCTGAAGTTATTCCATTTCCGATCAATCAGTTATATAGCAGCTGTAGGATATAGTCGGCCGATCGTTCCGACTTATATACTGCTTGCAAAGGAAAGAAGTTTCAGGCAAAGTTCAAGTTGAGAGACTAGTTTGCGTAGAAACAGACAGACGGACATGCTTATATCAACTCAGGGGGTGATCCTGATCAAGAATATATATACTTTATAGGGTCGGAGAAGTCTCCTTCACTGCGCTGCACACTTTTGACCAAAATTATAATACCCTCTGCAAGGGTATAAAAATAGCATATTCGGCAAGGATTCGCTTGAGGATTACACATTTGGACAATTTCCACTTTAAAAACAAGTCTCTTTGAAAGCTCGGTTCAGAAACTCAATTTAAATTTTAAAAAAATGATATTCAAAGGTTATAGAACCTTTATATTCAATATTCCCAACGTTTAGTGGTACGGAAGGCTGTTAGTGAAAAAATCATGGTACTAATGATAGCTGTATATATTGTCTAATGAGATATGAAATCATGATCCGAGTGATATTTTTGAGCGAAAAAAAATCAAAAATAATGATTATTCATGATTTTTATTTTTCGCTCAGAGAATAATGATTATTTTAATAATTTTTGTTAGTTTTTTTCCTGTAAAAAAACGGCTTTTTTTGTTGGTAAAAACTTTGCAGCATTGCCTACACCAGACCTTCCATGCTTCCTGCTTTAAACCAGAAACCGCAATTATTATTTACAATCGTCTCTTTATCCAATTCGTATTGAAAAATATCTCTTTTTTTACTCAGGGAATGGTATTTTAATAGCTAATTCATATAAAAGTGTAAAATATTATAAGTGCACTATTGTGATGTGTTATCGGGCCCGGTATGCTTATGTTTATTACTTTATGATTATAGTTTTCCAACTTCGTGTAAATAGGCCCCAAGCAATTTGGTCTGAAATATATAAAAGTACCATGATTACTGGTTACCAACCCGAATGTTTTTGGAAAACTCACTCCTTCAATATAGTTGTAAATATCAATTTTCTCGTTTTGAGAATGAGCCCCGTCGTCACAAGCTCCCACTGGTACAAGGATTACATTTTTTCCAGTAGCTTCCTGCAGTGTTAGAGTTACGGGAATGGAACCGCCCTCCCTAGTCATATCCGGCTCCACTTTGAATACATGCTTGATGGCCCTCTTTGCGGCTTCATAATGGGGGTGGTTCGGATCTTCAGTCCATGGCTTGCCAGCCGAAAGCATTACAACCTTAATAAATTACAAATATCTTTAAATCTTTTTAAATTAACTATATTAACATATCATACCTTCATGCTGTTTGGAGATCCACGCTCGGTCCATTTCTCATTTAGGTATTTAACGACACATTCCTCAATATGATTCGGGTCCTGATCAGGCACCAAACGAATAGAAAACTTTCCAATGACCTTCTTTGGAATAACCGTTTTGGCACCTGGCTCATAAAAAGCACCTTCGATTCCATGGACAGACAGGCTGGGATACCGCCATCTGGCCTGAAGTAACCTGATTTTGTCGCCATTATGTGGTAGCTTATCAACGCCAATATCTTTCCTAGGGAGATTACGATTATAAATTAATAGCGATGACAAGAAGATAAGATTAACTTACTTGTATTCAGCCACTTCAAAGTCTATGTTTTCATATATGGATTGTTCGTTTTTAAGCTGAGGTGCCACCTTAAAAAATATAAAATATTCTTTAGATTTATAAATATGTTTTTTGTTATAATTCATACATCTCGATTTACTCCAGGAATTAAAATGTTGGTGTCCTTGTCAACAAGAATACTAAGCAAGTAGCATAAATCCGGCATAGCCTCGTGGACAGTACCTCCAAAAACTCCGCTGTGAAGATCCTTAGAAGAGCACTCTACTTCTATTTGAAAGTAGGCTAATCCACGTAGACCATAAGTCAAGCAAGGGCGTTTTTTACCCAGCCAGTAGTTGTCGGAAATACAAACGTAATCAACGTTAGCAAGAAAATCGTTCTTACGCTGCATTAATAAATCATCAAGGCCCTCGCTACCACTCTCTTCCATGCCTTCAAACACAAACTTTATGTTAAGTGGGAGGGGAATGTTAAGCTTTTGGTAGGCTTCGATGGCATGAATCCAGCATAGAACAGGTCCCTTATCATCAGATGCGCCGCGACCAAACAATTTGCCATCGATTTCGGTGAGTTCGAAAGGATTGGTATTCCAGCCATCCTCTTTTAAGGCAGGCTGCACATCTAAATGTCCATAGACAAGGACAGTCTTTTTGGAAGCATCTTTTCCCAGGGTTCCCAGCAGTACCTTCGGCAGAGGGATTACTTGACCACTCGGCAATGTCTGTTTGCCAACATCAGCCAATTCAATTTCGGTCCCTAGTGCCTTCAGCTTCTCTGCAGTCCAGTCGACCATCTGATCAATTTCGCCGCGCTTATCCGGCCATGCTGAAACTGACTGTATTCCACAGGCTGTTTTCAACGCATCTATGTAATCGCCTTTTTTAGTTTCCACAAAACTGAAATGGCAATTGCGGTTATTACTACTAAGATAAGTGTGAAAGCGATATGCAGGAACCGCAGGTGCTGTTATCTGCCTAAATTTACACAACTCATTCATTTATTCACACAAAGAAAGCGATAAAGCTGCCGAACTCTATCTACCAGATGATAAAATGCAAATCACCCACTTTAATCTATTTGTGGAGATGTACATACATTCTCTGTGCTGTCTGTTCTGGGTGTTGGCGCTTCCGTGTGGAAAATCTCTTCGCTCTAAATGGGTGCATGTAGTGCCAGATTGTACTTGGCAAGACTGCTATCCCTATAGTGCTTATCACTAGCCCCTATCACACTTTTCCATATTCAGCGAACACAAGAAACGCCCAGGAGAAAGTTTACATATTTATGTACATATGTTTATACATACGGTTAATTCTTAGCAATCGTGCACTTACGCGAAGAGTTGTTGGAGTTCAGTGGGAAGCTCTGCCATCTTTGAAGTTTGCTTTGAAGCCGAAAAAAGCTAGTCGCACAATATTTCACACAACTATATTCTCAGTAAGCGATTGCGCGCGCTTAAATATAAAACCTTGTGCCGATAAGAGGGGGAAGGTGGTCTGGTGGTGGAAGCAGTGTGACCTGCCTTGGGTGCACCAGATTGCCAGGTGGCTTAGTTACCGTTGCCTGACTTGGAAAATGTTTTTAGGTTGCCACATCTGTGCACTACCAGTGTAAATTTTGAATGTTTGAGAAAAAATAATTTAGAAACAGAAAATTAGGAATGTTATCCAAATAAAAATACTAAAAGTAAAAGTTTTCGGCCGAATCGTCGGAAGAAAATCCCGGGATTATCCAGACCTATTCAGAAAATACATCCATGAAAGTGAAGAAAGAAATTAGATTCAATATCAATTCACTTTTTATAAAAAAAATAACAAAATTACAGAATCAAAGCTCTTTTTACACATTCGAAGCACTTTTTTAAGATCTTTTTTTTAGTGTGACCAAAAAATATAAATACTTAATGTAAAAAAAACGAGTCTTCAACTATCGATGACAAATCAAAAAAAAAACCTTATTGAACGGGAAAATAGCTATGCCAACATCGCCATTCGAAGTGTCTTTAAATCGTCTTTGCTGTTTTTGCAATTAAAAAATAAAAGGCAGAAGGTCTTGACTTGCTCCCTTGCGCTTGGAGTTCAGTCTGCATCAGCCCGTAAGGCCATTATTTTTATATACCAGAAACTCAATCATGAGGGCTGATTCACTCATGCACGCTGTGTACTGGCTGACACATTCCAGATAGCTGAAACTGTCATGTTTTCTTCTGCACCCTCCTAACTTCTGTGCTCCACCGGATTATAAATAGTATTCCGTGCCTGTCTGTACCTGTGAGTGCCACTCCGATTAAGTTTGTGTTACTTCTCGCCGACGTTGATGTCGGGCCAGCCAGGCGCAGTTTCGTGCACGCGTGTGTGTGCTGCGAAGACTTGGAAAAAGCAGGGCACATCAAATCGGCAAGACAACGGCGAATCGTCAGCAAAGCGGAACTCGAAAGGTGGACGACAAAGCCGTTAGCTTAGCTCTTGTCTTCTGAGCCACTATTGCGGACAAGCATGGTAGTAACAATTTTCTGTCTAACTCCCTGCACATATTTCCTATATTTTGAAAATAACAGCAAATAGCGTTCGTCTGAACCCGTCGTAGACATCGGTGCGGCGATGCCCAAATCGAGTGATCGCTGGGCCAGCTGTCTTGGCAACCAGTCTGCAATCGCATTACTGATTTGCATAAATGGGGATTAATTAGCCACCGCCCACATTGGTCATACCGATCTCTTCTCCAAAAGCTCGATATTATCGACATCGAACATTTTAACTTAAATTGTGGCAGCTTGAGTCAGAGGGTGGGATAACAATGTGAAAACCAAAATAGTGGTAAATCTGTAGTGGATATCGCGGTTGCAACTTCCGAAAGTCAGCAATCAGTTTTCTGTTTCTCTCAGCTTTTTGTTTCATTTAAAAACAGCTAAATTAGTCGAAGAGTGATTGAAACTGAAATACTTTCATCCCACAGACAAAGTTCTCATGGATCGCAGCTTGGACTCCATTGGCAGCTGTTCACTTGATGTAGACGCGGACTCGTCTGACATATCAGGTACATGAGCAATCGCGAAGCTTGCCTTAACCTGGTTTTTGTTGCCACCCTCGTTTCTTTTTCGATTCTTTGGCTTTTTTTTTGTGGTCGACTTGTTGGTTTTTGAAAAATTTTTGGGCTCTTATCCATGTTTGTTCATATTGCAGATACCAGTGGCAGCCTTAATTTTCCAACACCGATCTCTGTAAGGGACATAACTGAAGAGTTTACTAACAACCTAAAGGAACGCTGTACTCCACGATTGCCGCAGCAACCGCAACATACGTACTCGGCGCTTCTGGATCCTAGGGCAGGCGTGGTGCGCATGGTGCTGTCTCCAGCAACGGTGGAATCCGGCAGTGGTTCAAATGCCGCAAGCGTCAATGTTGCCGGAGTGTGTGCCAACAACTCGCTTGAAGCCGTTACTGCCTCTGATGAGAAAAAGCCGAGTTATCTCAATCTGGCGTGTTCTGTTAATGGTTACTCCAACCTTACCACCTACGACTCGAAGATCCGTCAGGATATTAACAAATCGCGGGAGGTTTCACCTATCCGCCCATCTACCAGTAGTTTGCAATATTGCAAACGGAATTCTTCTCTAACGGCACCAGTTTTGCACAGCATGCCGCTTATAAAACTACCGTCTCCGACTTCCCAATATTCCGCAACTGGCAGCAACAAGAATAGCAACGGAAACGGCATTGAGCATGGAACTCGTTCTGGACATCCCAATGGTAATGAAGGTGCCCACTGTGAAGCCCCAAAAAGCTTTATTAAACAGCGAGTGGAACGACTTTACGGGCCAGGAGCATTGGCCCAAGGATTTTATAGCCCTAAAAAATCCGGTCATTTTTCTTCACAGTCTGCGACGCGAATAGCTAACCAAAAGCTTGAAATTGAGTCTTCGCAGGACTCTGAACTTGCTCGAAAATTTAAACAGCTTTCCCCCAGCAAGGATTATGGAGAATTCCGAAAAAAACTTCCCAACAATTGCTCGCAGTCTGGCACAGTGCGATCGACTGAATCGTCTGATTCTTATGAACAAAATGTCGATGTGGAATTGCCTGTATTTAGGCATCTAAGTTACGAGTTTAGATCACAGTTGCCAACGGTATCGCCTAAAAGAGCAACCCATCGATCCATCTCTGCTCTTAAGTTGCAGCCTGCAAATGAATCTCCAGAGATTGCTACACAGGAAGATGTGGTGGATCACGAACCCTTGAAACCAGTGCAAATGATTTCAGAGGAATATGATAGCACAACAAAAATTATCCTTCCGACTTCCAGTAAGGATGGAAATTACTTTCTTAAAATACTCAAGGATGAGCAAGCTCGCCTTTTAGCGCTGGCCGCCCTCGCAGAAAAATACTTAGATGCTTTGGTTGTAAGTAATACAAACTGATGTTTAATATATCTAATAATAATTATTGTTGCAGAATAATCCCGATATATCAGAGGATACTTTCGGGCTTCTCCGATCCGCGTCGGGAAAAGCCCGTCTTTTAGTATCACAGAAAATGAAGCAGTTTGAGGGTAAGAGTAATTATAATAGTTTTATTCAAATTATATTGAGTTATTATCACTTTCTCAGGTCTATGTCACAATAACCTAAATCGCTCGCCCGAAGACGAATTTCCAACGACAGTGGACGACTTACAGGGCTTCTGGGACATGGTTTATTTGCAAGTTACTCATGTGGATAATATATTTGCCGGTATCGAGCAGCTGAAGGCTAATGATTGGAAGGTTCGATTCTATAAATCATTGTGATAAAGTCATGCAATAAATATTCCCTTACAGAGTACTATTCAATCGCAAATGAAGGAAACCCCAATAAAAAAGATCAAATCCGCAAAACCAGGAGCTTTGAAAACGAAAAATGCTGCAACGAGTAATACGATAACTGGATCAAAATTGGCACCAGCGAATACGGCAGCAGCATTGAAGCGCGAGGCCCAAAGACAGCAGCTGCTGGAAATGAAACGTCAGCGCCGAGAGGCAATGGCCGCGGCGGCCAAATTAACGGAAACCGTTTCTGATGCCGCAATTGAACTTTCAGATACAATAGGTGATAGCTCTAGTAAGATCAAGAACATCAGCTAAACAATGCTCATTGGGAAAAGAAAGCGTGCTCTCTAGATGTAAATGTATGTTATTTTAACTCGCAAGCATGAACCACAGATATATAACCGTAAATGAAAAGAAAAAAAGCTTAGAAATTCTTAGTTGAATTAACTCTTTACTAGTCCCAAATAAAATGCACTTGGTGGAGCTTCACAATACTTCAAATTTGAGTCACAAATTTTGAAGAACACCGGCGGACAAAAAAATCTTGAAGCATACGATATTCGTCATTAACAGCAACTCGCTACCAAATGTTCATAAATGTTGCCTTATATTCGAAAAATTTAATGTTGCCAGTAAATAATTACACATTGGAGCACTCTTATTGGAAATTGTTTAAATTTTTGTGATCGAATTTATAAAAGACATTTATTCATGTGTAACAATTTAAGGTTAACAAAAATTTAAAATCAATATTTTCAAATTTTTTTATACTCATTTTTTTTAAATACCGAATATAAATTTAGAAGGAAAATATACAATTGTCTCGTGCAGTAAATGCATTGAGGTGGAACATAATTTTGTTGAATCTACATCGGAAATTAACAAGTCTCACTCATCAAATGTGTAATGTTTTCTAATAAAATTTTTTAATCACTTGATGCTACGCTGCTTTTTTTAACAAGCATTAGTTGGGAAATTATCGAATTATCAATTTTTAGAAATTAAATTATCAGTTTTAAGCACCAATATCTTCGAGTTCTGGTTACGTTGCAAACCATTTATTCCCCTTGTAAAAAAATAATATGGAAGACTACGTTTATTTAGCTATTAGCTTCATTTAGCTATTTTCCAAAAGTGACATTTGATGGTTAAATGGTAAGTTTATAATTATTGGTAATGATAATTACAGTTATTAATATTAATCTCTATTAATTTATGTATTATTAAAAGTAAATCTTACTATCTGTCACTATTCAGCTGTTTTAGTAATTCTACTCCGAAATCCAATTCCGGCTTTTCGGGATTCAAGCTAAATCTGAAGTGTCGTGTTCTTACCAATAGGAGTAATTATTGTTTTACCCGGTACTCGTAGAGTATATATACAAGGGTATATTGTATTGTATATTGTGTGAATATATGTAACATAGAGAAGGAATCATCTCCAATCCATAAAGTAAATATATTCTTGATCAGCATCAGCAGCCGAGTCGCCATTCAGTGGTGAGGGAATATAAACGGCCGCCAAAAGTTAATTTGCCTTTCTTGTTTAACGTTTCTTGTAACCCCAAGGAAATGTAAGAAAGTTGCACCTCATTAAATTATGAATTTTGGCTATCCTGGTTTACCAGGGTTATTCAAAATTCAATGGAATCCAACAGCTCGATATGTTCACATTGACTTTATTTTCATCATGTCAATCAGACTCAAAGCTTTCAGACTTCTGAGCCACACCAAATGACAGTTTTTATTATAACAAGAAAGAAAAGCTAACTTCGGGCGAAGCCAAAGTTGATATACCCTTGGAGTTAAAACCGGATTTATATCACAAAAATCGGATATAGTTGGCCGATCCTTTTGAGTATATCCTAATATAACCAATTCATTACGATGCAAAGTCTAAAAAAAGTCCCAAACTTTTATCTTCAAGAGCAATAAAGTTGTTATTTTGGTAAAATGTTGGTAATGTTCGTATGTTGGTAAAAACCATTTCCGATCGTTCAGATATATGGCAGCTATAAGATACAGTTGGCCGATTGTTATGAAATTTTGTAGGTGGGATCAAAACGAAGTTCCAAAGTTCTATATTCAAAAACACGAAAGTTGCGTCATTTCCGATTTTCAGTAATATGTACTCTCTAACATTAAAAACACCAAAGTTATACCATTTCCATACCCAAGCAGTTCAAGTTTGTTTTTAAAATTTTGCCATGCCCCTCCTGCGCCATTATAGAATGGCTTTTTGAAAATCTTTTGATATCAAACTGTTTGTGTTGTTAACTTATATCTGTATCAGCCAAATCGGGCGATGTTTTGTGGAGATATAGATCGCCCGATATATATGTATATGTATATACATATCAACTCCCATACAAACATGTAAAATTTGAACTCGTGGATCTTGAAGGCTTTAGGAGATAGAACTATCCAATTCGGAACTGGGACTCGTATGTTTTCTGCGCACATCAAGTTTATGTCACAATATTCCAGCGCCCACTCCCGCCCCTATTACGGAAATCTTGTTGTAGCGCCAGTTCATTGCAGTTTCGACGGAAGTTTTCTGTTTTGGGTGCGAAAGAGGGCTTGTCAAAATCATGATACAAACTGCATGGTTATAACATGAAATAAACTTGACATGTGCATCTATTGTATAACCCTACATGCAAAATCTTTATCCACGAGTTCTCGACTCTGCTGTTGATCCTGATTAAGAATAAATATATATATACTTTTTGGTGTCGGAGATGATTCCTTCTTTGTTACTTATTCAAACAAATGCCATGTACCCTGTGCCATGTGCGATGATCAAAGCGAGAAGATGGCAGAGTGAGAGCCTTGCGAGCTGTTCTGTTTGTGTCCTATTTTTTAGTTAATTTTTTGTTTAAAAAAAAAGTGCCGTTTACCAGCTTAACTGCACTAAGAACGAAAAAGGAGAGTTCAACAACTTATATAATGACTTGCGAAACCACCAAGAAAAGTTTTTTTACTATTCACGTATGTCTATTTCGAGGTTTGACTATATAAAATAATACAAGTAGTATTAATATATTAAATAAATTAAACTATATATTAACAAAATTATCATTTGAGCTTTCAAACACGCGTGATTTGAAAATAAACGGTAATTAAATCACTTAATGCAAGAAAACAATCGAACGCTCTGAGCGAGTTGAAGCGATGAAGCTGGTTGCAAACTGCTCTCTCTTTCCTCCCGCTTTATCGCTTGAACTCGCAACTCGCTTCGGTTTTATTCTGACATCTTTCGAGCGATTTCGTATGGAAAAGGTTGTAGTGGTTTATCGCTCGTTCTCGCCCAATATTATCGCATCGTTTCCCGCACGCACTCTGACGCCAGCCTTAGGTCTATCTCGGAAACTGTGGGTGATAGAACTTTGTTTGTTCTGAACTTTTATTCAGAGCACCTCAAAGCTTATAGATCAGGTGAAATTATGCGTGGAGTCTTACATTTTTGGAGAACCGCATTTGGTTGTAAAAGCGAGGAGACTAGTGCACATCAGTGTTTTGAATTCGGACTTCGGGAAAAATTGTAAAACCGCGGGAAGACATTTATTTAGCTTTATTTAAAATTGAATTATCGTTTTTTACGGTTTTTATGTATTTTTTTTTTATTTTAAAACAAAAAATACCAAGCACCGCCAAGTCAATTTGATAAAATACAAGCAAAGAAATCGAAATCAAGAAAGCTTGCTTGATGGACAGGGTCGATCACTGCTCACCGGAGGATGCTGCTGAAACTACCCGACTGCTAGCCGAGCCTTCCAGGGACGCCGATCCAATACGACCAGTGACTGAGGAGGAAACAGTTGAGCTCATAATCATCATGAGCAACAACAAGGCCCCGGGCGATGATGGTATCAATGCAATTGAATTAAAAATGTTACCACCTCCAAGCATTCAGCTAATTACGAGGATCTATAATAGATGCTTGGAGATAGGCTACTTTCGTCCACATGGAAACGTGCCCAGGTATCTATGATACCTAAGCCCGGGAATCCCGAAGCGAACTTTTCGTCCTACCGGAACGAGTGTTTTTGAGCGAAGAGTCCAGTATTTGACGAGGCTGGACTGATCCCTGACCACCAGTTTGGGGTCAGGTGGTCAGTCAGGCGGCTACACGGTACCCCAGAGCAGTGCCATCGGCTCGTGCAGTACATCCTAGACGCATTTGAAATCAAGAAGGACGTGAAGCAGGCGTTCGACCGAGTCTGGCATCCCGGTCTACTATACAAATTAAAGACTGGCCTACCCCGACCATACTTCCAGTTCCTAAAGTCGTCTTTGGAAGACCGTAAATTTGCGGTAAGATGCGGCGAGGCCATCTCCAGTCTAAGAGAAGCTGGTGTGCCCCAAGGCAGCGTTCTTGGCCCGTTGATGTACAACGCTTACACGGCCGACCTCCATGTTCTCCAGAGGCCTGACCTGCTCGCAGCAACCTATGCAGACGACACCGCCTTCCTTACCACCGCCCATAGCGCCATGGGGGCTGCCGAATCCATGCAATTGCAGCTTGACTTGCTCAGCGACTGGTAAAAGCGATGAAACAAAGCCGTCAATAATAGAAGTCCACTGCCACCACATTTTCTCTCTGCAAATCCAACTGCCCTCCATTTAACCTCAACGGCTCCCCAATCCCGCAGGAAGACAATCCCAAGTACCTAGGATTCACCCTAGACAGGAGGGTCACCTAAGGCCCCATCTGATTAAGAAGAGGAAACAGACTGATCAAAGACTTCGATCCATCTACTGGCTCATGGGTAGGAGATCGAAGCTGAAAACTTCTCATTTACAAGGCCATAATACGTCCAATCTGGACGTACGGCATACAGCTCTGGGGCACTGCAAGCCAGACGAATGTCCGAACGTTCGAAAATAGAGCCCTTCGAATCGTCACTGGGGCCCACGTCTATCATGACAATCGCACCACCCACGAGGTTCTCAATTTTCCTTGGGTCAAGGACGAGATCCAAAGAAGCATCGCACGCTAGATGCAGAGGCTCCATAATCACCCGAACCTGTTGGCCATCTCCCTGCTGGACAACAGCGAGCAGTCCAGAAGACTAAAAAGGACGCAAACGCTTGACCTCCCCTGGATATCCTAACCATAATCATTAAATACCATAAGCTAGCTAACTTACTAATTTAATTTAGTTTTCCAATATTAATATGTAAAATTATCTATAAGTGAAGTTCATGTAAAAACATTTAATAGTTGTCTCTAAAGGACAGTTTTAAATAAACGTTATCCTGCTATTATAAAAAAAAAAAGAAAGCGAGACTTTAAACCCGTTTTTAAGCAACAGGTAACTTACTTATCTTAAAAATAGAAAATACAATTTGACACCATTCAAATGGTAATTCGAATATAATAATTTCAATAATTATTATATATATATGAAATTATATCTCATTTTATAGAAAATACATTAAACTTCAAAATCCATTACAAATAATTTGAATTTGAACACGTATATAATGATCTGACCACTTCCATGTTCGGTTTAGTTGTGAAATATTCGTGATGCGCGCAGCTGCGTTTTACAAATGAGCATCTGTTCACATCTTCAAATCTATTTTTAGAGAATCCCGTTAGATTTCTAGAAAAATCTGGTTTGCCATAAAGCTTGGACATTTTAGAGGCGATTTGTTTACTTTCCGTACATTTTTGCCGTTAATAATTTTTTTATTTTTGGCCTATGGGAGCAACCACTGTGCATTCTAGATCCGGTTGCAATGTCATGGCAAGTGTCGTCATGATTATAAAACACCTCCGAATTTCCTAAGAATGATCGGAACAACAAAAAAAATATATTCTGACGAAGAGGCTGTCGATATAGACGATATCATTAAAAACTTTGAATTAAACTATACAAAATTTTCCCGAAATTACCCTTGCAGTTAAAACCCTCTGCAAGGGTATAAAAAGCTATCTAAACATGATTTCATATACCCTTGCAGAGGGTATTATAATTTTGTCCAAAAGTGTGCAACGCAGTGAAGGAGACATCTCCGACCCTATAAAGTATATATATTCTTGATCAGGATCACCTCCTGAGTTGATATGACCATGTCCGTCTGTCCGTGTGTCTGTCCGTTTCTACGCGAACTAGTCTCTCAGTTTTTAAGCTATCGTCTTGAAACTTTGCACACACCTTTCTTTCCTTTGCACGCAGTATATAAGTCGGAACGGCCCGGATCGGCCGACTATATTCTATAGCTGCCATATAACTGATTGATCGGAAATTTTTTCGTATTTTTGAAGATAGAAGTTTGGGACTTTTTTTAGATTTTGTTTTGTAATAAATTGGATTATATATTCCTATTCCCATAAGGATCGGCCAACTATATCCGATGTTTGCGATATATATCCGGTTTTAACTGCAAGGGTATATAAACTTCGGCTCCGCCCGAAGTTAGCTTTCCTTTCTTGTTTTTATCTGAACGAAGATCCAACTTCCTATTTAAACAAGAAAGGAAAGCTAACTTCGGGCGGAGCCGAAGTTTATATACCCTTGCAGTTAAAACCGGATATATATCGCAAACATCGGATATAGTTGGCCGATCCTTATGGGAATAGGAATATATAATCCAATTTATTACAAAACAAAATCTAAAAAAAGTCCCAAACTTCTATCTTCAAAAATACGAAAAAATTTCCGATCAATCAGTTATATGGCAGCTATAGAATATAGTCGGCCGATCCGGGCCGTTCCGACTTATATACTGCGTGCAAAGGAAAGAAGGGTGTGTGCAAAGTTTCAAGACGATAGCTTTAAAACTGAGAGACTAGTTCGCGTAGAAACAGACAGACAGACGGACAGACGGACATGCTCATATCAACTCAGGAGGTGATCCTGATCAAGAATATATATACTTTATAGGGTCGGAGATGTCTCCTTCACTGCGTTGCACACTTTTGACCAAAATTATAATACCCTCTGCAAGGGTATAAAAAAAAAAAAAAAACAAAAAAAAATGTGTATATGGGACATTTTTTTAGATTAGCTTTCCTGTCTTGTTTTTAAATTTTTTAAAAATTTTTTAACAGAATGTTATCCTATTAATAGTTTTACCTTGAATTTTCAATAAAAAAAAGGTAAAATAATTTTTGAGTTTTTTATTTATAGTAATGAAACCCCAATTTTAGTTTTTAATCATTTTTATTTGGCTTCTATGGTAAGACTTATGGTTAATCTATTTGTAAGTACAAATCTTACTTAACTTTTTTCTTCGTTTATGATCATTGCACCTACTTATCTTCGTCTTAGATCCATTTTAATGAGTTCTGTTCGTGCGACATAGGCGTAGCAAATAATATACCGAAACACTACAATACGCGCTACTTTTAATGAATTTCTTTTGATAAACTAAATTCACAACTAACTATTACATTTTGGGCAATAAATATTAAATACATATAAATGTGTATATTCGTTTAATTAAATGTTGATATAAAAAAGTTATGTACACAAATAATCATGATTAAGTTTTAAATAGCATTATTTTGTAACAATAACCTGTTTCTACGCAAGTTTTGGCGCGTACGACTATTTACAAATGAAAAGAATGGTTACAGAAATAACATGGGAAGCAAACATCTGTGCTTTATAGGCATTAACGACCCGTAAAGCGGTTCCAAACCCACCTTAAAAAAGGATATGGCTAAGAAACGACTACAAGACGGCTTGTCAACATGTCTAAAAAAGTTTCTAGACGAGTTATACATATGTATATATCGATGCATATTTCATAATGTGTTTTTTTTAGAAATCCAGCCGAGTCCAATCGCTTCTGTTCAGCTTGTTTCTGGGCCAAATCCGGAGTCGACACAGGGGCTAAGTCGAAGCCTCCGGGTCACATTCCCACTGCTTTTTTCTTTTACCTTGAACAGCTGTTAGTCAAGGTTGTGCGGCGGAGTAGTGTTTGGACCGCCCAGTATAAATGAAGCGGGACTATGAACCGAAATGCTGTCAAGATCCAGAACGCCATCCCCCTTCTCCAGGATCCCACTTCCATCCTGCTTCATCATCATACGGCGCCACTTGGCCCGGGCGTTTTGAAACCAGACCTGCGAAATTGCGATTGTTAGTAAGTACGAGCTAATCATTTTTGGAAAAGGGCGCGAAAATTAAAAATATTCACCTGTAGGACTCTCTTTGGTAACCCTGTTTTTTGCGATAGTTGCTTTAAGTCCTTGGCATCGGGGTTATGATTGATGGCGAAATACGACTTCATAGTTCGTAACTGGTGATGTTTAAAAGAGGTGCGCATTCGCTTTGTCCGCGATGAGGAGCTCATGTGTGATCCCCGTCCGAAGTCAACGTACTCCGTGTTAAGATCTGCAATCGAAATCCCAAAAGTCTTCAAGTTGTGTCGACTTTTTCACAGTCTCTCCAGTTTTACGATTCGGGCCCATAAAAGAAGCATTTTGCTGCCGTCAATACACCAATGGCGCCAAATTCCAGCTTAAAAGTATCTCAGCTGTAGTGCAACCATTAAGAGCCCGACTGCATGCTGCCTCTTTTATGTCTACCATCGCATAACAATTTACAACCTACCTATGTTCGCGGTGAAGGGCTCAATGTCCTTGGGCTTGCGTTTTCGCGGCCTTCCTTTCTGTCGCGCCGGTTGCGGCAAACCGGTGATGACATGAGACGCGGGGACGAATATGCCCGTAGGAACAATGCTCCGGCTGGGGTCCGAGTGCGGGCTTGAGGAGTCGTTGTGTGGCGAGCCAAACTGTGTGTTGTACGGGTAGGAGGCACTCATGCTGGACGAGGCAGCGTCTCCCTCCCGGGCTATACTGTAGTGGGTCCTGCAAGGATAATTGGTTTAGTTGGTTCTCTGGCGAACGGACCGGCTGTTAGGCTAACCTGCAGTATATAAGCGCATCAATGATGCCGTATTGGTCGCCTTTTGTCAACGGCGTGTGGCATACCGTACAACAAAAGCAGTTTACATGAAATACCAGGTTCCGGGCGCGCATTACTAACTCGTTGGAGCTGATTGAGGCCAGGCACCGGGAGCAACGGCGAGTACCAAAAAAACTAAAAAAAAAAGAAAATATGCCATTCGCATTAGCTCACTCAGAATTAGATATCTTAAGACTAACTTTGCCAAATCATGTGTCATTATGCTTTAATAATCGAGCTGGTTGCATGAGGTTTTTAAATTCCTCCACTGAATCACTGATCATATGTTTGCAAATCTGGACTCATACAGGAGCTGTTTAAGGTAATTGATGCTCTTTTTTGAGCATGTTGTAGCGTAAGGACGGTACAAAAGAATCACAACACCTACTCATCGAAATTGTGTTATGGTCATTGCGTGGAGATAATAGCCTGCAGTGATGACTACTCCTTCTTTTCAGCCACTGAGGACTATCTCTCTCTCCTTTGCAAAAGGTAGATGAGACATTAATAGTTCCTATACCACAATAGGATGAAGGGCCCCTGAGTCCCTGAGACACACGTTTCTGACGACGCAAACGCAGACGACAAATAACACTTAATGTGCGAGACATGCCATTTCTTTGACATTAATCAAAATAATTGGCGCATTTGACTTAAGAAACAGACTCCCTCAGCAGACTCATTCTCACATTTCTGAAACCCGGAGCGGATCCTGGCCGAAAGCATCGGCTGGAGGGGCTAACACCAGGCACGAGGCCAATTTTAATTTCATACAAATATATCATATTCGTTTGGAGCAAACTTCAAGAGATATTCAAAGCCCCATCCCCTAGTACCGTTCATCATCTGCATATCGTAGCATTTTGAAGGAAATTGTTTGGGATGTGACGCCGAGATTTTTGTCACATCGCCATGTCGCACATCTTGTCGCTACACCTCTCGCCGAACTTTCGCTCAGGTTTCGTCTCTTCTTCAGCCTTCAGTTATAGGCCTTACTTATACAGATGATTTTTACGTAGTATATACTAGTCTCCATGAATGTATGTGCGTTGAACACGGCGCGTAGGTCGGAGGCCTCATAAATAATATTATACATGAACTTTGAGGACAGCAACGTGGTCGCTGCTACCAACTCATAAAACTGATCCAGACCGCTGTCTTAACGGATTCATTCCGAGACGCTTGCAATGCCCAGAAACGCCCCTTTGTCGCCTCAAAAATCCTACGAGCAAGGGAGACGGCGCAAGAAAAATGAATTATGATTATTGCCATGTAAAAGAGCAGGCGAAATGTCAAAGTGACAACGCCTAATATATGATTATGTTTTCGAGCGCTCGAAATCTGATACTCTCACACACATTCTGGACACCCTCCCCCGGCTCCCGATCCCGCATCTGTTCCAAAATCCCCTGCATCTCCAGTCTTCCTTCAGTCCACTCGGTACCAAATCAGTCCCCAACTCTAAGTACGGAATCTGTATTCACGAGTCCCAACCGCTAAGTACTTTTTAGAGAAAAGCAGTGTATTCCCAACAGTTAAAAAACTTGTTTATATTTACCCTTGCAGAGGGTATTATAATTTTGGTCAAAAGTGTGCAACGCAGTGAAGGAGACATCTCCGACCCTATAACGTATACATATGTATTCTTGATCAGGATCACCTCGTGAGTTAATATGAGAATGTCCGTCTGTCTGTTTGTCTGTTTCTACGCGAACTAGTCTCTCAGTTATAGTCTCTAAATTTTTAAAGCTACCGACTTGAAAATTTGCACACACCCTTCGCAGTATACGGCCGGAATCGGCCGACTATATACTATAGCTGCCATATAACTGATTGATCGGAAATGCTAAAACTTTGGTGTTTTTAAAGTTAGAGAGTTCAAATGCTATTTTTAGCAAAATAATACGACATACAAAATTTCGTAAGGATCGGTCAACTATATCCTATAGCTGCCATATAACTGAACGATCGGAAATGACCCAAATTTCATGTTTTTGAAGATAAAAAGTTGCAACTCCGTATAGATTCTATTTTTAGTCAGTTTATTGGACCTTTCAAATTTCATAACGATCAGCCGACTATATCTTATATAAAGTGTTTGGTATTTTTTGGTATTATTTTTGAAGATAGAAAATTGGGATTTTTTTTTAGATTTTCTAATAAATTGGTTATTTTATGATATTCTCGGCCATGATATAGGATCGGCCAATTATATCCGATTTTTTCGATACATAGCCGGTTTTAACTGGTATAAGGAAATATCTTCAACCCTATAAAGTCTATATATATTCTTGATCTGGATCAATAACTGAACGATCGGAAATGGTATTTAGTAAAAATAACAACTTTGGTTTTTTTGAAGACTGAAGTTTTGAACTTTTTTATATTTTTTATTCAAATATTATGATATTTGCTATTTATTATATTATTATGATATATTATTATTATTATATTATATAATATATTATATATTATAATATTAGATATATATTATATATAGATATATATTAGATATATTATATTTTCATAAGGATCAGCCAACTATATCCAATATTTACGATAAATATTCGGTTTTCACTGCAAGGGTATATCAACTTCGGCTCCGCCCTAAGTTAACTTTCCTTTCTTGTTTTTAAATATGTTAATTATTTTTTGTATAATTTTTTGATGTTAAATTGAGGTTTAAACAAATATATACTCCGTCGAAAATAATTAACCGCGTTTATATATAATCAAAATTTACCAAATAGGTTGACAGTGCTTATAATAAAATTCCAAAAAACTTTTGTTTTGTATGTGACGTCTCATAGACCCGTCGACATACATATGTATGTATGTATTTATATAACCAAAACAACATAATTTTAGTGGAACCTGAAGGCGCTGGAGATCAGGGAATGTAGATAGTAAAGAAGATGCAAAAGCCTATGACCTGATAGCCACGTATTTAATGCGCTTTCTTGACAAACAGCAAAAAGCCAAGCTGATGGGCAGGTGGGGACTGATAGCGCTGCGAATCGTGGCCAAGTGCCCGTCGCTCCTCTTCGGCCAGTCGCGGCTACTCCATACGCTGAAGAGCCGACTGAAGCGTCTGAAATCAGTACGGCAGCAATGGTATGAAGGTTAGACCAAATAGCTGGCCAGCTTTGTTTTGAGGGCGGATGAGTTGAGAGAATGTGCGTTGAGCATGCTGAAGTGTAAACCGACGTGTGGCCCAACTGGGCGCCGCGGGATCTCATGCCCAGGGCATCAAATAGGGGGCACAGAGGTTCATTTGCAACAAGGGTCGAGAAACAGGACGTGTTTTGTAACGTGAGAGCATTTGTAAATGAAGTTTCAAGTGCCGCCCGCTGAGCTCTGGTCTTCCGATTACATATGTATGTATAAGTGCATCAGAAACAACAACAGCGGATTTCCCAGACGGCACGCCATCGTCGGCTTGCAGAGCAGTTCCTTCCGCCGGAGTTTTGTTGCTTTGCGTTGAGTTGTACTTGCCTTGCATGGCATGCCTCACCTTGTAACCCTATTGGCCAGCAATTTTGGTAAAGGTCTCACGAGAACAATCTCCCTGGGTCCTGAAATCCTGCCCCGCAAATTCGGGTAGTGCCGGCGTCCCGTGGCGATAATTCGATGCTAGGGAATGCCCAAACTTATACAATAATTGTATTTATTTTTTAGTTTAGTGTATTGGTTTTGTTTTGACTACCGGGGAGTTTCATTGAGCCGATTGTGTTTTGGATGGGTTAAATGTGCTGGAAAATTAGTTGTGTCTCTAGTTTTTGAGCTAATGGCTTGAAATACCGCAACCCCAAACATTAAACTAGGTTTTCAAGATTTTCATTCACATAAACTAGAGCATTTGCATTTTTAAACGTTCTTTAATAGGACTTTTCCGGCTTCCAAGAACGTAAGCCTATGTCTAATGGTTTTGTGACCATAATTTTATAGTTTAGCTGATTAGATTATCGCCCAGCTGTCAGACTTGCTCCGGGGAACGTCTTTTCCCTCCCCCACGTTACCATTCAGAAAGAGGCTCTTGCGCATAAATTCGGTGTAAAATGCTTTCTCAAGATGCCTATTAAACATTTTAATTATCGCGCTGCCCTGAATTTATACCGGGTATTCAGACCCTATCAGTTTGTGTGTCCAGATCGCAGCAGAGGAAAGGTTATTCGACGCACTGTGCAGCCAAGCGAGCAACGTGCGAAGCGTCGGAGCGAACAAGGAAAAGAAGGGAAGGCTGAAGCGTTGATGTTCGCAATTCGCCTCACGAGGGCTTATGTTTTGTTGTAATTATTTCTCTAGGTGTTCAGCTTTCAATTGGGACAATTTTTAATCCTGATTAATAACTAATTCTTAATAACAAGTAGTCTTGTTCACTATAAGCTTTTTAAAATTAAAATTAAAATTTAAAATTTGAATAATTTTATTTTTAAAATTTCATTCCCAAATGAAATTCCAAAGAGTATTATAATTTTAGCCAATATGACATCACTGTCACCATATAATATGTGTATATAGTATATTCATATATTCTTCATCAGGATCATCTTCCATTTCATATATGTACATATGTCCGCGTTTCTTTCCATCTCACCTATCGGAAATTCGGATCTACAATATTTATAAAGGGTCGGACGGCTATATACCACAGCTGCCATATAACTTAATGTTCGCTAACTTGTACCATTCAGATTTAAGCTAGATATTTTTAAAAATTTTTAGAGTATATAACTGGTCTGAGTTGCAAAAAACTGTTGATCATTTCAAAGTGTCAGAAAAAAATCGATCATGTCGGAACACTTTGAGAATCGGGTCTGAACAAAACACTTTAAAGAGCTTTTGCTCAAAAAGTTTTCTGCTTTAACTTTCTTTTAAATTTTAAATTTTAAAGAGTAGGGAGGATATAAGTATGATAAGTAGGGTAGTAGTATAAGCATACTAAACACTTCATTCAGATCTTTTTGTTAAAAGTTTCTCTTAAAACCAGGGACCGTAAAAAATGATTATTGTTATGATTTTTATTTTAAAAATCACAAAATAATGATTATTCTCAAAATATAAAAAAATATGAGCGAAAAAATAAAAATCAGAAAAAAATCATTATTCTTTGATCGAAAAATAAAAATCACAAA